TGCGCAGGGGGTGGTCCCTGAGCGCGGTCGCTATCTGTGCCGGTCGTCCAGGGCGCTGCTGTCCGTGACGGTCGTCCAGGGCACAGCAGGCATGGCATATTCTCGAGACCACGGGGGGTGCGCACGGGGTGGTCCTTGAGCGCGGCCTCTATCCGTGACGGTGGTGCTCAGGGCACATCGGTACGCAAGTTTGCTATCCGTGCCGGTCGTGCTCAGGGCACAGGGGAGCGCTGGCGGAGCAGGCGTGGCATCTTCTCATAACCTTAAGGGGTCCGCAGGTGGTGGTCTCTGAGCGCGGCCGCTATCCGAGCCGGGTGCGCAGGGAATGGCCACCAATATCATTCTCACATGCTTCACTTCAGCTATCATCACTCCAGCCATAATATAAGTATGTGGGGTTCCTCGGTAGCGTAATTTGTCTTTCTTGAGGTTTTGAAGCGTGGCAAGCCGCCGTCGCGCCTGTGTCGCTGCAGCGACGTTGCGCGGAGAAAATGCAAAATCCCACCAGCTCCCTTTTGCCCTTCGGAGAGGGGTTTGCCCCTTCCCCGTGCCCCTTCCCTTTGGACCTGGACGGGGGGGGTCGCGACCCACTGGGGCGTCCCAGATGACCCAAGATGGCCCCAATAAGGTCGTCTCGGAAAGCCCGAGATATGGCCTCTCAAGATAGCCGAAGATGCCCCGCAAGGTTCCGACGTGCTCCAAGAGGCCCCCAAACCGCCCCAAGACGGCTCCTCCGAAGGAAGGCCCCCCAGGAACCCTTCCTAACCTAGGAGAAATCAGTGTGCGTTTGTTGTCTACCTTCTCGCTTCTGGTGGCCTTCCGAGGCCTCAGCCCGGCTCCAAGATGGCCTAAAAGGGCTCCAAGAGATACCCAAAGAGGGGTGCGATGCGGCCCCAAGAGCGCCCAAGAGCGCTCCAAGAGGGCGCCAAGGGAGGGGACGCTGATTGAGGGACCCTCCTTCTTTGAGTGACCTCCCCCAGGATGGCTCCAAGAGACTCTCCAGGGGTCCCAGGAAGGCCCCCAGAGGCACGCGGGACGTCCCGAAAGGCCCCCGAGATCACCACGAACCCCCCGAGGCCCGAGACGCCCCCGAAGGCGTCCGAGGACATTGCCAAGACAGATCTCAAGCTTTTCTAGAAGGCATCCGGGGTCTCTCGCTGTTTGCCCGCCCAACCCCTAGACTCTTTCTCAGCTGCTAATTCCTTCTGCTTTTTATTCCTCCTGCTCTTTTTTGCCCCCTTGCCTCATCACTTCAGCTCTCCTGGGCATCGTTTTTGGATGGGCTGGTGCCGGTGGGGATTTTTTCGTCGCGGCCGCAGGCGAGCGCGCCAGCAGCGTCAGAGGTCGGGCGGGCTACGCGCGAACCTCATTGCCTAGCGCAGGGGGGCCGACGGCCGAACCTAAGCTGCCTAAGCTGCCTAAGCTGCCTAAGCTGCCGGGCTGCGCGAGGTGGTGCCAGGAAGCGGGGCAGGGCCCGACCCCGTGCCGACGGGCGATGCCAACTGCAACCAGGACCAGGATCCGGGGGCAGTGCCGATGCACACATTGAACCAAGGAGCTATACGCATCCAGAATGGCGCGGCAATGTCACAGACAGCGAAGCTGACAAGTGACCGCTGAGGGCGTGTAGGACCTGACGTAGGATAAACCACACGAGGGATTTATGCACACAGCCCCTGAGGGGGGCAGCTCGCTTGTAATACACTCCAGGAGGTAATACCAACACCGATGGCCAGGAATACGTCACTGACCAGGAACCAGTACGAGTGGCGCCACCGAAGTCTCACACTCACTCCTGAGAGAAAAGATCCAGGGCATTCCCCTCTCCGAGAACGAGAGGAGGAGCCAGCCAGGAAAACGATGAAAGGGATCGACACCGAAAACCTGAACGGATCGGCCACACGCCTGATGCTGCCAACCAGGAATACGATGGATAAGGTCGACATCGAACGCCTGTACGGAATGGCAGCACGCATAGAATTGCCAAGTGAACTGCCGATAGCAGGGCTAAGCACCTCACCCAGGGCAGCTGCATTAGCGTGTCAAGCGCCAGAAGCGAACTGGGAGCGTCCAGCTGGCGAGGGAGGCCCCGAAGGGAGTTAAGGGCCAGGACGAAGCGTGGTGGTGCCGTCTTTGCGCGGGGAGCGGAGCAGCTCGGTGCGGGGCAACTGCCGAAAAGCGCGGGGAGCGGAGGGCGCCGAGGCGCGGTGAAAACAACTACAGCGAGGCCAGGGGCCAGTTAGAACATGTGGACCACGGCCCCAGCGGCAGTCCACGTGTCGGTATTGTCAGCAGGCAGCTGCCAGGATCCCAGGGGCGGGGGGCAGCGGGTGCTGAAGGAGAGTGGAGGAGACCAGGAAAGCGGCTGTAGGCCGCACGCACCAGGGGACGCAGGATGAGAAGAGGGAGGCAGAAAGTGCGACCAGGAAGTGGCTGAAGGCCATTGGTTTGCCGAAGAAACAGATGGATCACCGCCATGTGCGGGAGCGCTTGTCGCCTCTCCCGTCGCCGTTGTGGTCGCTGCCCCGCTTGCCTCCTGTCTGCCAGGCGTTGGCGTCCCAGGAGTGTGTCCAGGACCAGCTGTCCCAGTCCCAGGATTGCTGTCAGCTGGACGCGCGGCCCTTTGGCTGGTGGCCGCCTTTGCCCTGGCGCCCCATCCATTTTGCGCGCTCCTCGTCCCAGTCAACCCGCTGGTCGAGTTGCCGATCCAGCTCATAGGCGCCCACCGCATCCAGGGGCAGTATCTCGCCAGGATGACACGCACTCCGTCCCTATGCGGGGGCCCGTCCTCCGAGCAGGGGAGGCATGACGCCCGCTTTCTGAGTGACCGACTGTTGTTCCGCATACCAGGAAAACCAGGAAGCAGCTGAAGGCTGCACTTTCTGCAAAGAAGCCACTGCGACTGTCAGTGTGTATCGGGGGACTGCAGGCTGAGACGCTCCCTCCCGTGCGACATTGAGGAGCCGTATGAGTGCCCGCTTGCCGGCCTCCAGGAGGGGGAGGGGACGACAAACTGCGGCATGCGGCCACGTGCTCCTCTCCCTGAAGACGGCTGCAGTTGACGGCCGCACTTCCTGGGCCATACCCCAGAGGCTCCAAATTGTGAGGAGCGTCTCCAAGCGCGGGCGCGCCCCCTGCGGCGCTTCCGACTGTCGCTGGGGACCTGTGTCCAGGTGGGGGGGGGGCGCTGTCGAACAGGCGCCCACCGCACTGCTGCCCCAAGGGCGCTGAAAGAGGTAAGGGGCCAATGGAGTGTCCGCCTGTCCTGTCGCACTGCCAGACCTGTCCGCAGAATTTCGTGCCTGCCAGGGTTGCCGGGATACGACGAGACACAACGTGTCTACCAGGGGTGCCAGGGTAACGACAAACGGTCGCACTGTTGGTGTGCATCGAAGAGCACCGAGCTGGGGCACCCCCTCCTGCACGACAAATGGTCGCACATCCAGGGTGAAAGGGAGGAGCCTATGATGGTGTCAGAGTGGCGGCAGAGGGCCGCGATCACTAGAGAATCGGAAGTCCCGGCGCCCGCCGGCACCCGCGGCGCCCGCGGCGCCCGCAGCGCCCGCGGCGCCCATGGCGCCCGCGGCGCCCACGGCGCTGGCGGCGCAGGCGGCGCCCACGGCGCCCGCGACGCACGCTGCGCCCGCAGCGCCCGCGGCGCCCACGGCGCCCGCGGCGCCCACGGCGCTCGCGGCGCCCGCGGCCCCGCGGCGCCGGCGGCGCCGGTGGCGCCCGCGGCGCACGCTGCGCCCGCGGCGCCCGCGGCGCCGCGGGCGCCCGCGGCGCCCGCAGCGCCCGCGGCGCTGGCGGCGAAGGCCGCGCTGGCGGCGCCAGCAGCGCACGCTGCGCCCGCGGCGCCGCGGCGGCCGCGGCGTCCGCGGCACCCGCGGCGCCCGCGGCGCCCATGGCGCCCGCGGCGCCCGTGGCGCGCGCGACGCGCGCGGCGCCCGAGGCACCCGCGATGCCCACGGCGCAGGCGGCGCCTGCGGCGCCCGCGGCGCCTGCGGTGCCCGCCGCACCCGCGGCGCCGGCGGTGCCCGCGGCGCACGTGGCGCCCACGGCACGTGCGGCGCCCGCGGCGCCCACGGCGCCCGTGGCGCCAGCAGCACTTGCGGCGCCGGCGGCGGAGGCGGCAGCTCAAGCCGCAGCAGCCGCCGCGACACGGGCCTCCATCCCACGGGCTGGGGCGCGCACCTGAGACAGGGGCGGGTTCGAGCCCAGACGCCTTGAGCCAGAGGCTACGGACCAGTGAGGATGCGCGAAGCGTCAAGAACATGTACATGTACACGTTTGTGCGCACATGTGTGTATTGTGATGTATATCCATTGTAGGATGGATGCATGTATTGTATTATGTATGAACGTGTACACGCAACTACGCGAAGACGTTGGAATGCAATCCAATCATCATCTATTTGCGTAATATGCCCCCCAAATGACAGCTTCCACCTTCTGGGTGAGCGGTGCGGACGGTGGAGCGTCAGGGTTTGTGGGCCTCTTGGGAGGCGTCCGTTACTAACGCTGGATTCGCTTCGAAGTTCTGATCAGAACGCACCCCAGGAGAGGTCTGGGGCGCAGCGGTATCGGTATCTTTGGTCTCCCTACCTTCAGAGGGGACGCATTGACCCCCGATCGCCTATTGATTTCCGATATGGACCCGATAGCCAACCCCGCCTAGGAGCTTGCGGTTTCGTCTTCGGGGGCCTATCAGGTGTAGCGGTCTCGGTGTCTTTTGGTTTTCCCAGATCTTCGAGGATGAGAGAAGCCGTAACCCTAATGACATAGTGAATACGTGGCCTGACTTAGATCCCCATCTTCGCATTCGGGATCATATTTTTGGGCGGTCTTGTTTGATACATCTGTAAAAAAAGACCCCGTACCCCTTTTTTTGTGGCCCTCCTCACTGAGGTCCCCTCCCAAAGGGTTCGGGGTCCTTGTATTGCTAATCGCCAGAGGTGGCGGGGGGCACCCAGCCGCTCGCGCGCGCGCGCCCTTTGCGAGGTGACCCAGCCGGCCAGGCCGCGGCAGCCAGAGGGCCCAGGCTGCCCCCTGCAGGCGGGGAGCTGCCGGGCGCTCCCTCCTATCCGGGCGGACGAGCGCCCTGAGATTTGGGTGTGGCCGTTCCGTCCTCCCCTTCCCCCTCTTCCCCCTCTTCTTCCCTCCTCCTCCCCTTCCTCCTCCTCCTCCTTCCCGTCTTCCTCCCCCTTCCTCCCCCCTCCCCCCTCCTCCCCTTCCTCCTCCTCCCCCCCTTCCCTTCCCTCCTCCCCTTTCTCCTCCTCCTCTCCCTCCTCCTTTCTGTCGTTCCTCCTCCGTGAGCTCATGATGCTTGTGGGAATCCCCGAGATCTGGGCGTTTGCTATTTTTAAACGGTAGTTTTCGCCCAGCTTCGGGCCCCGGGGTCCTCGCAGATGTATGCGTCTCGAGAAATGCCCCACAAAGATGGGGTCTAGGGCTCCGGCTAGGATTTTTCGCGGTGCTGCAATGTTTTCGCGACGTCGGATCTGGGGTGATGGGGAGAACTTGCTGCATGCAGATGGGGGGCGAAATCAGGTGCATGTGTGTGGCTTTGTGTGTGTGTGTGGAAAGGGCGAAATCTCCTGCATGCAGATGGGCTTGGCTCCGCCGCCAGGCCCTCTTCTCTACTGGTTGGCGCCCCCCGCGCCGGGAAGCGCCAGGAAAATCGGCCGCGTGACCTGATTCGCTAACCCCCCTATGCTTCTCCCCCCTCGTCCGACTCGATCCTCTCCGCTCGTGGCGGCGCACCGAATGATTCGGTGCGAGGCAGGGATCTTTGCACAGCCGCCGCTTGGGGAACCGAATCCCAGGACCCCAGGCCAAGACATCCGGCGCCTTGAGAAATCGGGGCGGCCAGTTTGCCGCTGTTTTTAAGCCTCTGCAGATCGGTTGCGGGCTTCGGCAATGGCGAAAAACATTATGTCTGGACAACAAGCTGGCCTTGCGGAAGGGGTCGAGACGGTCGAGAGGTCCTGGGTCCTGGGCGGTGGGTGTGGCTATGTTGAGACCCTGGGCCTCCGAATCTATCCACACACGCACACACACCGCCCCGCGGAGTCCATGAAGGTCGTTTTCCTGAGCGGTGGATAGGTATCAACTTTCGCTGCCGCGCGATTCCGCCCCCGCGCTCAGGCGGCCGCCCTGGTGGGCAGGCCTCATTTGGGGCCTCCTAGGCGCTTTTTGGAACCTCTTGGGGACTGTCGGGAGCCTCTTGGGTCGTCTTGGGGTGCTCTTGGCCCGTATGACGCCTTCGGAGGGCGTCTCGGGGGTTTCTCTGGGCTGTCGTTGGGCCTTCTGATGGTGCTTCAGCGCAGCCTTGCAGATCTCTTGGACCGTCTCGCGTCCCTATTGGGGCCGTCTTGGGGGCCTTTGGGTCATCTTGGGGTCCTCTTGTAAGGTCTTGGGACCATCTTGAAGGCTTCTTCGGCCGTCTGAGGGGTTCGGAAGCCCGAAAAGGCGCCAACGCTAACACCTTTCAAATCTTTAAGGGAAATCCGAGTTTTTGGCAATGTCCTCTTTGAGACCTCTTGGGACGTCTTTGGGGCCTCTTGGTTCGTTTTGTGGCCGTCGTGGCCGTCTTGGAGGCCATCTTGGACGTCATGAAGGCCATACAGGGTCAGCGACGGATCCCAGGAGGGGTGTGGAGATCGATGCTGAGCGGATATGAATTGCGGCAGGTTTCCTCCCTAGACCCCCTCGCGTCGTCAACAAAAACACGACGGACGTTTTTTGTTATTGAATTCTTATTTCTAAAGAATATTTTCTGTTGATCCCCTTGGTGCCCATTGTTTTTCAATCTAAGTGCTCCTCCCGGGGCTCGCACCTTGTTTTCTACAAGTGAAAATTTGGAGTCACCAAACTGGCCCCCTGGCCCCCGACGTACAACAACAACGGCTTCCGCCTGGTACTTCTTCCCAAGCTATTCCAAATGGCGCTGTCGAGCAGGACTTCGTCAGAATGCATGCAGGAATTGCCCTCTCGCGTGTTACGCCCTCGCAGTTTATTCAAATGCCGCGCTCTCGACACTCATGAATCGCGCTCTCGCGATTTACTTGGGAATCGCGCTTTCGCTCGAGATTTCCTCGCGATTCATACAGGACTAAAGTTGCAGCCGCCCGCCCGCTCGACCTGGCCGGCTGGACCCGCCTTCCCGACCCGCCCGTTAGGGTCTCCCTGCCCGATCAGCTCGTTTGGTTCTGCCACGTGTTTTCTGCTCCTAGCTCCCCTCCTGCTACTCTCTCTCGTGCTCCATCCTTCTCCCTCCCCATTGTCCCTTTCTTGCATCCGTCCTCTTTTCCCCCATGTTGCTGCTGCTGTTGTTGTGGTTGTTGTTGTGGTGTTGTTGCTGTTGTTGCTGTTGTTGCTGTTATTGTTGCTGTTATTGTTGCTGTTATTGTTGTTGTTGTTGTTGTTGTTGTTGTTGTTGTTGTTGTTGTTGTTGTTGTTGTTGTTGTTGTTGTTATTGTTGTTGTTGTTGTTGTTGTTGTTGTTGTTGCTGTTGTTGTTGTTGTTGTTGCTGCTGTTGCCGTTGCCGTTGCCGTTGCCGTTGCCGTTGCCGTTGCCGTTGCCGTTGCCGTTGCTGTTGTTGGTGTTGGTGTTGGTGTTGTTGTTGTTGTTGTTGTTGTTGTTGTTGTTGTTGTTGTTGTTGTTGTTGTTGTTGTTGTTGTTGTTGTTGTTGTTGTTGTTGTTGTTGTTGTTGTTGTTGTTGTTGTTGTTGTTGTTGTTGTTGTTGTTGTTGTTGTTGTTGTTGTTGTTGTTGTTGTTGTTGTTGTTGTTGTTGTTGTTGTTGTTGTTGTTGTTGTTGTTGAACTCTCAATCTTGAAGAATAATTATTGTTGATCCCCCCACCGGTGCACATTGTTTTTTTCGACTGACGTGCCACCCCCTGGGCTCGCACCTTGTTTTTTTCTAAAGGAAAGTCTTCCTGCTCAAACTGTGCCCCTGCCCCCCGGGCTACAACAACAACGGCTCCCGCCTGAGACTTCCTCGAGTTTTACTCAGGACCCCCGCTCCCGCCTGAGACTTCCGCGCAATTTACTCAGGAAAGGTGCCATGGGCGCGAACGCCGAGGACGACGGGGGCTGGGGGGTCCTGGTGACCGACATGAGCAGGGATATCGCGCAGGACTTCATCGACACGGGAGGCAGCTTGGGCTACACCGTGGCGCGGCTGGACGGCGATCTGACTGGGCTGAGGCGCCCGGAGCAGATGATCAAGTGGGCGAAGCCCTTCAGCCTCCTGCCTGACAGCGTATTCAAGCCCGACGAAGACTGGAAGATCGTAGGTCAGGGGAGGTGGCGATCAGCCGACCACATCACCCTGGGAGAGGCACGTTGCGTCGTGAAGATCAGTCGTCTGGCGGCTGCAACGCCGGCCCTCCACCGCACCGTGCTTCCGATCCTGGAGGACAACCAGCCCGTGTCGGGCGCGGTGAACAAAGGGAGGTCCCCGGCACACCAGTTGAACCACTTGCTGCGTCAGAAGACCGCAGCGGGGCTAGCATCACGCACAAAGATTTTGATTTCATGGGTGGAGACACTCAGGCAGCCTGCCGATAAGATATCGAGGTGCCTGAACCGTGCTGAGCTTCGAGGCCTTTGTCATGTCGGGGCCGAGGAAGCTGGACAGCACTTCAGCTGAGAAGGTGAAGCCGCACACCCTGGCAGCATGCAGGGCAGCGGCGTTGAAGTTTGTGACATACTTGGACGAGAACGGCTTTGTCCCCGACGGGCCCGAGCAGTGGGGCGACCTGTTGGTAGAATACAAAAACGACATGCAGATGACTAAGTGCAACTTTGAGTATGCCGTCGCTGCAGTGGAGTTCGTGTTCCCACGCCTGAGGAGGAAGCTAACGTGGTCCCATTCGGTGATCGACGCATGGCGAGTCGCGGCTGAGGTCAAGCACGCTCCGCCGCTTGGGCGTGCGCCAGCCAACCTTGCCGCAATCTACTTTGCATGTTGGGGTGTGCCGCGGCTGGGAGTAGGCTTGCTACTGCAGGTGGACCGCGGCCTGCGACCATCGGAGATGTCGCAGCTACGTGCAACAGACATATCTTTACCATCGTCTAGAGGGGGGCCTGACCTGCAACCGAACTGGGTAATCAACGTGTGGGCCAAGGCAGGAACAAAGGCCAAGAGGATGCAGATTGCCATCGTGCTGGAGCGAGGTGGGGTGTTGGAGGACCTCCTCCATCGAGTGGCCTCCTCTTCCCTTGCTCGCTCGTCGACTGCAGGCATCGGCTCAGGCAATTTGAAGCAGCTTTGGGCCTCGACATCCACTGGGCGCCCCACTCGGCGCGGGCAGGCTTTGCGAGCGATTCCGTGGCTCGTGGCATCCCTTTCCAGGAGATCAAGGAGGCGGGACGGTGGCTCACAGAGTCCAGCCTCCGAATCTACGTGGACGTTGTCACCGCCTCTCGGGTGCTGGCGCAGGCTGAGCAGCGAGGGATCGCATCGCTCGTGCGAGAGGCGGCCGAGAAGCTGCCCAGCTACTTCCCGAAGGGCATCTTCGGCGAGGACGCGTGCGGCAAGCGTGCCGCCGACGGGCTGGCGCAAGGGGGAGGACGGTCCTGGGTGCTCCCAGTGCCTGGGCGCCCGCCAGCCCCACTGGCGGGGGGCCGCCGAGTGGCCTCCCCTGCGCCCGCGGCGCGCCCGCCGCCAGCGCCTCCGCCAGCGCCGGACCTGGGCGAGCTGATGGGCGGGGTCCTAGCGGGTCCACCGCAGCAGGGGGATGCAGCGGCGGGGGCGGCCGCGGCCGAGGCCGAGGCGCCAGCTCCAGCGAGCCATGGCGCGCTGCAGCCGCTGGCCGCGCGCCCGCAGGGAGCGGCCGCGGCGGCAGGGCAGCGGCGTGCCAGGGCCGGCGGCTGGGCGCTGCTGCGTGCGGCCTGGAGCATGGCAAGGTGGTGCGGACGCTCATGCACGCGAGGCGTGACGTGGGCGGCTGTCGCCGTCTGGCTGATCGCGTGGATGTACGTGTCGGGGCCGATGGCCCACTTCGGAACCATGATGGGCGTGGCAGCGAGCGTGTCGGTCTCGGCGGGCAAGGTGGTCGACCACAGCCTCGGAGCCGTGATCACGGCTGCTCGAGGCGTATCCGATTTCGCCGTGACCTCGACGCGCCACTCAGCCAACATCCTGCAGGAGGCGTGGAGAGGCGTGGACATCACCGACCTACGGGTGCACCAGCGCCACGCCGAGCGGATCGCCGACGACCCATCGCTGCTGCAGGAATGGGTGGTACGAGAGTTTCTTTCAGTGGAGCCACGACCGCCTGGGGCAGACCAGGTAGCCAACACGCTAGCTGAAGCGTCCGTGACACTGCCACACGCAACAGAGAGTTGGCAAATGTTGGTGTGGCCAGGCCAGTACAGAGAGCTCCACATGACCTACGATCTCTCGTCGACCGGATTCTACGGCGTGCTCGTAGTCGACCGCATTGTGAATTTCAGCGTGCAGTGGTCGAATCCGCTGTGGAGCGGCCTCGAGTGCGACCTCGGGGCCGAGAGAGACACCATCCTACTCCACATCAACTCGACCCTCTCCAGGCTCCCCCTACCCGCGATCCTGAGTCGTCGGTTGTTTCGAGCTCTCTTCCTGGCAGTGAAGAGTGTCCTACAGTTGTTTCTCTTCGGACAGTGAGCGGAGTCACAAGCTAAATGATCTGGTAGGGGCGTAGGCGAGGGCGGGCGAGGGGCTTGCTCTCGGTTTTGCTTTTCGTGTCCCCAAGGTCCCTTCTCTTTCAAGGGGTCCCGCACATTTTGTGCGCCGGGCGCAGGGCCAAACTACGGTCCCATAGATAGCTCGCGAGCGGAGGCGGGAAGAGCTCGGCGGCAAGCCTGTAAATTAGCCAGCCAAGCGATTTTATCGAACTTCTCGCCTCCCTTTGTCAAACTTCCTGGGTTGGGTCTAAACGGACACCATCATGGGATAATAATCGTAGAGCATGAGTGTTGATGTGGGACTTGTCAGTTTGAGGGGGGGTCGTGGAATTTTTGTTTTCTGGAGCTTCGGGGCCCTGAGGGTCGTGCGGTTTGTGGGCCAAGTCTCCTGGCCTAGTGCCCCGGAACCCGCAAAACGGGAGGTCTAGGTGGCTTGCGGCCGCTTGCCCCCGTATGTGTGCCCTCGCGTGTGCCGCACGGCCTGCTCCGCAACCGTTTCATTGCTCCAATCTGCTCCAGATTCTCGCGGCCCCCCCACCGTCCCCCGCCGAGTCGAGCTCGGCGGCAAGCCTGTAAATTAGCAAGCCAAGCGATTTTATCGAACCTCTCGCCTCCCTGTGTCAAAATTCCTGGGTTGGGTCTAAACGGACACCATCATGATGATGATGCCGACGACGACGACGATGATGATGATGCTGATGATGATGATGATGATGATGATGACGATGATGATGATGGTGATGATGATGGTGGTGGTGGTGGTGATGATGATGATGATGATGATGGTGATGGTGGTGGTGGTGATGATGATGATGATGATGATGATGATGGTGGTGGTGGTGGTGGTGGTGGTGGTGGTGGTGGTGGTGGAGGTGGTGGTGGTGGTGGTGGTGATGATGATGATGACGACGACGACGACGACCGGGAGGAGGAGGAGGAGGAGGAGGATGAGGAGGAGGAGGAGGAGGGCGAGCAGAAGGGCAAGAGGCCTCTTGGATGCCTTTCGGAATCTCTTTCCTTTCGAGAGCTTTTTAGAGTCCTTGTAGGCCGCTTGGGGGTCTCTTCACCGTCCTGAGGGCCATTTGATGCGTCTTGGGTGCCTCTGGGGGGCCTCTTGGAGCTCCTTGGGGGTCTCTTGGGAGCCTCTTGTGGGCATCTTGGGGGCATCTTGGGGGCATCGTGGTGGCACCTTGGTGCCCTCTGGTCACCTCTTGGGGCCGTCTTGGGGCACCCGTGGGAGCCTCGGGGGCCATCGTGGGGCCATCTTGGAAGAGATCGATCAAAGGGGGGAGAGGCTCCTTACTGAGGCCCCCCCCCTCCCCCAGGAGGCCAGCATGTCAGCAAAACCTTAGCAACATACGTGATGTCGGCCTTCTCGCCGAGGCCTCTGGGGCGTATTGGGTGCCTCTGGGGGGCGTCTTGGGGCCTCTTACGCAGGGCTCTCTTGGGAGCCTCTTGGGGGCATCTTGAAGTTGGCAGAGGAAGCTCGCTAAACCGCTCATGCCCTAAAGGGCTGGTGGGTTTCACATTGCTGCTGTTTGCCCCTCGCTGCTGCTGAGGCATTACTTCAAGGGGCATGACGCGCTGCAACCAACAAAAAGAGGAACATGAGGAGGAGGAGGAGGAGGAGGAGGAGGAGGAGGACGAGGACGAGAGGGAGGAGGAGGAGGAGGAGAAAGAGGAGAAACAGAAGAAGTGGCGCAAGGAGAATCGCATCGGCAGGGCTCCCTGGGCGACCCCGCCGGCGCCAGGTCGAGCTGGAACCCACCGAGGGGTCGAGAGTGAGCCTCTCCGATGGCTCCCCCGCCCTCGCGCCCGCGCCTCGCCCAGCGGGCCGCGCCAGCTTTGCGCTTCGCTTCGTTTAGTAATTCTTCTCTTCGATGTTGGCAATGCTGAGATTTTTGTTTTTTGTTTTTTGTTGTTGTTGAACTTTTATTTCTGAAGAACCGGTGCATGCTGTTTTTTCTCAATCAAAGTGTGTTCCTCGACGCTCGCACCCTGTTTTTTGACAGGGAAAGTCTTCCTGCTTCAAAGTGTGCTCCTCGACGCTCGCACCCTGTTTTTTGACAGGGAAAGTCTTCCTGCTCAAACTGGGCCCCTGGCCCCCCAGATTACAACAACAACGGCTCCCGCTTGAGACTTCCTCCAAATTTACTCAGGACCCCCGCTCCTGAGACTTCCTTACAATTTACTCAGGATCGGTGCTCCCGCCTGTGACTTCCTCTCCGCTTAGTTTGGACCCCCGCTCCCATCTGAGAGTTCCTAACCATTTACTCAGGAACGGCGCTCCCGCTTGAGACGTCTTCGCAATTGAATCAAGACTTTCTCGGAATTTAATCAAGACCCCCGCTTCCGCCAGAGAACCCTTCACATTTTATTTAGGAATTGCGCTCTCGCCTGTGACGTCCACGCAATTCATTCAGAAATCGCGCTTTCGACGCTAAGGAAAGACGGTGCGCCAAGAACGCCGTTACAATTTACTTTGTAATCGCGCTCTCGCCATACTCAGGCGTCCCGCTTGAATGTCCCACCCGCCCGACCCGCCCGTCAGGGGATCGCCCGCCCGTCGTGGGCTCCCGCCCGAGACTTCCTTCAGGAACGGCGCTTTCGCCTAGGATGTCCTCGAACGTTCACGCTCTTACCTTCCTGCTCCTCCTCCCTCTCCCTCCTCCCCCCTCCCTCCTCTCCTCCCTTCTCTCTCTCTCTCTCCTCTCTTTCCTCATGCTTATGCCTCTCTGCCCTATCCCCTCTCCTTCCTCTCCCTCCTCCCTTCTCCCTCCCCTCTCCTGTCTCCTCCCTCCCTTTTTCTTTCGCCTGAGCACAGCTGTAACGCTTAAACCAACGTGCACCACCACCACCACCCTCTTTCTCTCTCTCTCTCTCTCTTTTTCCCCTCTTTCTTTCTCTACCTCTCTTGCCTGTCTTTCTCTCTTTCTCTTTCTGCCTCTAATCAACCGCCCCCTCTTCGCTCCCTCTCTCCTGCCATTTTTCCTTCTTCCTTCGTCCCCCCCCCTCCCTTCCAGTCTTCCTCGTTCTCCCCATCTTTTTTTTTTCTGGGCCCACACCAATTCCAATGGAGGGCACATGTGCGCCCACGAAGGATTGTCCACCCGTTCAGGTTTGGCCGCCTGTCTAAGCCCGCCGCCACCGCCAAGAGCAATGATCCCCCCAAAGGGGGTGTGATCGAAGACAAAAAGGGCGGGTATCGAGGGTGTGGGGAGCTCGTTTTGAATGACACGCGGGCAAGTAAGAGCGAACAGTATTTGAATGATTGTCGTTGTTGTTGTTGTTGTTGCTGCTGCTGCTGCTGTTGAACATTATTTATTCTAAAGAATAATTATTGTTGGGGCCCCTGGTGCGCGACCCCCTCGCCGCGCCTAGGCCGCAGCCACGTTTTCATCATTTTCGTGAGGAAGCCTCAGGTAAAACGATGTCATCCAGATCCGGTTGTTTTGTTGACGCCCGCTTTCCCTTGCAAAAAACACTATAAAATGAAATTTCTTGTTCTAACATATCCAAACTTCAAGAATCCCTTGCAAAAATAAGGTAAAGTGGACATTCGCGCGCGCAAGACGAAATCCTTCCAAAACCTTAGTTTTCGTAGCGATTTTAACATAAAAACATCAAAAAACCAATGGTTTTTCAAACAAAAAATTGTCAAAATTCATCCCGCGCGCTCTTGCGGATTCGTAGGAAACCCAACACTTTTTAAACATTTCTGTCAAACGGGCTTTTGCGAGCAACTTTTTCGAACTTCTGCAACACGGTTGCGCACCTGCCAGGGCCATCATCCCTGTCAAATAATACCATGCGGGACACATTCGTTTTTTCTTCGCGCGCGCACGCCGTCGTCGTCGGCCGCGGGGCCCTGAATAGTAGCCACGGTCGTCCGCATGCCACGAAGTGAAGTGTCCGAACGTCATAGGGCGGGAAGCTGGGTGTGGGTGGTGGCGAAGAGTCGTTTGGAAATTTGGTAGAGCTTGAACCGGCCCCCCCACAAAGTGGGGGTATTGCCCGCCTCCTATGAAAACCCTGGCACTGGTGAGAACGGAGTGTCCCCAGTCTTAATTGTTGTTGTTGTTGTTGTTGTTGTTGTTGTTGTTGTTGTTGTTGTTGTTGTTGTTGTTGTTGTTGTTGTTGTTGTTGTTGTTTTTGAACTCCCATTGCTGAAGGATCATTATTGTTGATCCCCCCTTCTGGTGCACATTATATTTGTTGATTGAAGTGCCCCTCCTGGCCGTCGCACCTGGTTTTTTCATTAGGGGAAGTCTTGCGGCTTAAACTATGCCCTTGTTCCCCTGGTTACAATAACAACGGCTCCCGCTTTAGATTTCCTTACGATTTAGCCACGACCCCTGCTCCCGCCTAAGATTTCCTCGCGCTGTATTCAGGAGTCGCGCTCTCGCTTGGGACTTCTTTGCGATTTATTGAAGAATCGTTTTTTTTTCGGCGTTCAGGAGTCGCGCTCTCGCTGGAGACGTGCTCACAAGCTACTGAAGAAAAGCGCCCTCGCGTTGGAATTCCCAGCAATTTATCCAAGCGCCGCGCTCCCGACATTCAGGCACCCAGGAGGCGCGCTCACACGTACGATTCCGTCTCGCTGCCCTTCGTGGCCCCCTCGCTGCCCTTCGTGGCCCGTTGCACCCCTTCGTGGCCCCGTTGCAACCCTTCGTGGCCCCCTGGCTGCCCTTCGTTGCCCCGTTGCAGCCCTTCGTGCCCCCCTCGCTGTTCGTCGTGGCCCCGTTGCTGCCCGTCGTGGTCCCGTTTGCAGCCCTTCGTGGACCCCTCCCTGCCCTTCGTGGCCCCGTTGCAGCCCCTCGTGGCGCCCTCGCTGTCTTTCGTGGCCCCGTTGCAGTCCTTCGCGCCCTCTCGCTACCCTTCGTGGCCCCGTTGCAGCCCTTCGTGGCCCCCTCGCTGCCCTTCGTGGTCCCATATATGTATGCCCTTCGTGGCCCCCGCTCGTCCGCGCCCGTCGTGGCCCCATGTGCATGCCCTTCGTGGCCCCGCTGTCGCCGTTTGTGGCCCCCTCGCTGTCCTTCGTGGTCCTCAGTGGCCGCCCCGCTGCCCTTCGTGGCCGCGTTGCAGCCCTTCGTGGCCCCCTCGCTGCCCTTCGTGGCCCCGTTGCAGCCTTTCGTGGTCCCCTCGCTGCCCCTCGTGGCCCCGTTGCACCCCTTCGTGGTCCCCTCCCTGCCCTTCGCGGCCCCATTGCAGCCCTTCGTGGCCCCGTTGCTGCCCTTCGTTGCCCCGTTGCGGCCTTTCGTGGCCCCCTCGCTGCCCTTTGTGGCCCCGTTGCAGCCCTTCGTGCCCCCCCCGCTGCCCTTCGTGGCCCCGTTGCAGCCCTTCGTAGCCCCCTCGCTGCCCTTCGTGACCCCGTTGCATCACTTCGGCTATTCGTCGTGGCCCCGTTGCGGCCCTTCGTCGCCCCCCCGCATTCCTTCGTGGCCCCGCTGCAGCCTTTCGTGACCCCCTCGCTACCCTTCGTGGTCCCGTTGCAGCCCTTCGTAGCCCCCCCGCGCCCCTCGTGGCCCCGTTGCAGCCCTTCGTGGCCCCCTCGCTGCCCTTCGTGGCCCCGTTCCTTCGTGGCCCCGTTGCAGCCCTTCGTGGCCCCTTCGCTGCCTTTCGTGGCCCCGTTTGCAGCCTTTCGTCCCCCCTCGCTGCCCTTCGTGGCCCCGTTGCAGCCCCTCGTGGCCCCCTCGCTGCCCTTCGTGGCCCCGTTGCAACCCTTCGTGGCCCCGTTGCAGCTCTTCGTGGCCCCGTTGCTGCCCTTCGTGGTCCCGTTTGCAGCTTTTCGTGGCCCCCTCCCTGCCCTTCGTGGCCCCGTTGCAGCCCCTCGTGGCCCCCTCGCTGTCCTTCGTGGCCCCGCTGCAGCCCTTCGTGCCCTCTTGCTACCCTTCGTGGCCCCGTTGCAGCCCTTCGTGGCCCCCTCGCTGCCCTTCGTGGTCCCATATATGTATGCCATTCGTGGCCCCCGCTCGTCCGCGCCCGTCGTGGCCCCATGTGCATGCCCTTCGTGGCCCCGCTGTCGCCCTTTGTGGCCCCCTCGCTGTCCTACGCGGCCCCGTTGCGGTCCCTCAGTGGCCCCCCCGCTGCCCTTCGTGGCCGCGTTGCAGCCCTTCGTGGCCCCCTTGCTGCCCTTCGTGGCCCCGTTGCTGCCCTCAGTGGCCTTGTCGTTGCTTTCAGTGGCCCTCTTATCTGCCCTTCGTGGCCCCCGCTCGTTCGTGCTCTTGATGGCCCCATACGCGTTCCCTTCGTGTCCCCGCTTTCGCCCTTCGTGGCCTACTTCGTGTCTTTCGTGGCCCTGCTGTCGTTCTCTCTCTCGCTCTCGCTTTCGCTCGTCGTCGTCGTCGTCGTGGTTGGTCACCTGTCCGTCCCCCTTGGGGTCGGGTTGCCGCCGATCAGCGCTGCCGCTGGCCAGGCCGACGGTCCGCGGCCGCCCCGCCGCTTGCCGGGGCCCGGCCTGCAGGCACGAAAGGTATACCCCCCAAAAGGGGCTCGATCGAAGACGAAGAGGGCGGGAATCGAGGGTTTGGGAAATACGCGTCAGCGGACTTTCGAGCAGATAAGAGCGAACAGTCTTAAACTGATAGTTGTTGTTGTTGTTGTTGTTGTTGTTGTTGTTGTTGTCGTTGTCGTTGTCGTTGTCGTTGTCGTTGTCGTTGTCGTTGTCGTTGTTGTTGTTGTTGTTGTTGTTGTTGTTGGAGGGGCCCCGTGTTCCCTCCCCCCCCAGCAACCAGCAACCAGCAACAATCCCTTAGGGAGGCCCACCGAAGCTTCATTTCGGTGGACCTCCCCACGGG